AATGACACAGTGGACCAGATGGATTTCATAGATATATACAGAACATTCCACACTAAAACAACCAATACTCATTCTTCTAGAGTGCGCATGGAACTTTATCCAGAAGAGACCCCATACTGGTTCACAAATGAGGGCTCAACCAATACCGAAAGATTGAGATTATTCCCTGCATATTCTTAGACCACAGTGTTTTGGAACTGTAATTCAATGGCAAGAAAAAGTTTGGAAGGAATTCAAATACTTGGAAGCTAAAGAACACCCTGATTAAGAATGTTTGGATCAACCAGGAAATCAAAAAAGAACTTAAAGAATTCAGGTAAACCAATGAGAATGAAGACACATTGGTCCAAAACCATTGAGATATGGCAAAGGTGGTCCTAAGGTGGGAAAACATAGCCATTTAAGCCTTACTTTAAAAAAATACAGAATACATGAGCTCTCTTTAGAAATAGAGCTCTCCTTAAAGAAATAGAAAATCAACAACAAATTAAGCCAACCACATGCATAACAAGGGAAATAATTAAGATTAGAGTGAAGATCAATGAGTGAGAACTAGAGATACAGTACAACACATCAACGAAACTAGAAGCTGATTTTTTGAACGAATCAATAAGATTGATAAACCACTGGCCAAACTGATACAAAAGAAAGGAGAGAGGACCTAAATTAATAAAATTATGAAGGAAAGGGTAGAGATCATGACTAATGCTGAGGAAAAATATACAATCATCTGAAGTTACTATCAACAGTTATATACCAACAAGTTAAGCAATCTAGATGAAATGGATGTGTTCTTGGAAAACTAAAGACTTTAAAAACTGAATCAGGAAGAAATTCACAACCTGAATAGACCAATGTCTAGTAACAAGATTGAAGCAGTGATCAAAAAACTCCCAGAAAACAAGAGACCAGGACCTCATGGACCTGCTGGGGAATTCTACCAACATTCAAAGAAGAAATAATACCTACTCTTCTGAAGCTGTTTCAAAAAATATAAGCAGAAGGAAAACTTCCAGACTCTTTCTATGAAGCCAGCATTACCCTGATCCCCAAACCAGGCAATGACCCCATCAAAAAGGAGAATTTCAGACCAATATCCCTGATAAATATGGAAGCCAAGATTCTCAACAAGATCCTAGCTTATAGGATCCAACAGTACATTAAAAAGTTTATACACCATGACCAGGTTGGTTTTATCCCTGGGTTGCAAGGGTGGTTCAACATTTTAAAATCAATCAATGATACAGAACAAATCAGTAAGAGAAGAGAAAAGAACCACATTGTCCTTTCAAGTGTTGCAGAAAAAAAAATTTGACAAGATACAGTATCCATTCCTGATTAAAATGCTTCAAAGTATAGGGATAAAGGGAATATTCCTCAACTTCATAAATTCTGTGAAAAACCCACAGTGAATATCATCCTCAATGGCGAAAAGCTGACAGTCTTCCTTTTGAGATCAGGAACACGACAAGAATGTCCACTTTCACCATTGTTGTTCAACACAGGACTAGACGTCCTAGCAATAGTAATCAGACAACAAAGAGAAATAAAAGGTATTGAAATTGGAGAAGAAGAAGTCAAACTCTCTCTCTTCACAGATGACATGACACTTTATATGGAAAATCCAAAAGACTCTACTCCCAAACTACTAGAACTCATGCAGGAGTTCGGTGATATGACAGGATACAACATCAATGTATAGAAATCAGTTGCTTTCTTATACACTAACAATGAAAATGGAAAGGGAAATTAGAGAACTGATTCCATTTACTATAGCACCAAGAACCATAAGATACCTGGTAATAAACCTAACCAAAGAGGGAAAGGATCTGTACTTGAGGAACTATAGAACACTCATGAAAGAAATTGAAGAAGACACAAAAAGATGGAAAAGCATTCCATGCTCATTGATTGGAAGAATTAACATTGTTAAAATGTCTATACTGCCCAAAGCAATCTATATCTTCAATACCATCCTGATAAAATTTCCACTTTCATTTTTCAAAGTGCTGAAACAAACAATCCTAAAATATGTATGAAACCAGAAGAAACCCTGAATTACTAAAGAAATGTTGAAAAAGAAACACAGAATTTGGAGCATCATGTTACATGATTTCAATCTTTATACAATGCTGTGATCCCCAAGGCAGACATAGTGCTGGCACAAAAAACAGACACATAGACCAGTGGAACAGAGTAGAGAGCACAGATATGGACCCACAAGTCCATGATCAACTGATCTTGACAAAGCAGGAAAAAATATACAGCAGAAAATGTCTCTTCAATAAATGGTGCTGGGAAAATTGGACAGCTATGTGTAGAAAAATGAAACGACGATTTTCTTACACCATACACTAAGATAAACTCGAAATGGATAAAAGACCTCAACATGAGGAAGGAATCTATCAAAATCCTAGTGATGGACATAGATAGTAACCTCTCCGACATTAACCACAGCAACTTCTTTCAAGATATGTCTCCAAAGGTAAAGGAAACAAAAGCATAAATGAACTTTTGGGACTTCATCAAGATCAAAAGCTTCTGCACAGCAAAGGAAACAGTCAAAACTACAAAGAGGAAGACCAAAAAATGGGTGAAGATATTCTCAAATGACAGTACAAAGGGTTAATATCCAGGAACTATAAAGAACTCCTCAAACTCAACACACCAAAAAACCAGATAATCACATCATAAAATGTGCAGAAGACATGAAAGACAATTCTCCAAAGAAGACATACAAAAGGCTAACAGCCACATGAAAAAATGTGCATAATCATTAGCCATCAGGGAGATTCAAATCAAAACCACATTGAGATACCACCTTACACCAATTAGAATGGCCAAAATTAACAAGACAGGAAACAAGTGTTGGAGAGGATGTGGAGAAAGAGGAGCCCTTTAAACTGTTGGTTGGAATGCAAGTTGGTGTAGCCACTTTGGATAACAGTGTGGAGCTTCCTTATAAAATTAAAAACAGAGCTTTCCTATGACCCTGCAATTCCACTACTGGGTATTTACCCCCAAAGACACAGATGTAATGAAAAGAAAGACCATCTATACCCCAATGTTCAAAGCATCAATGGCAACTGTCACCAAACTGGAAAGAACGAAGATAACCTTCAGCAGATGAATGGATAAGGGAGATGTGGTCCATATACACCATGGAGTACTATGCCTCCATCAGAAAGGATGAATACCCAACTTTTGTAGCAACATGGACGGGACTGGAAGAGATTATGCTGAGTGAAATAAGTCAAGCAGAGAGAGTCAATTATCATATGGTTTCACTTATTTATGGAGCATAACAAATAGCATGGAGGACAATGGGGAGTTAGAGAGAAGAAGGGAGTTGAGGGAAATTGGAAGGGGATGTGAACCATGAGAGACTATGGACTCTGAAAAACAATCTGAAGGTTTTGAAGGGGCAGGGGGTGAGAGGGTGGGGGAACCACGTGGTGGGTATTGGAGAGGGCATGGATTGCATGGAGCACTGGGTGTCGTGCAAAAACAATGAATACTGTTACACTGAAAATAAATTTAAAAAATTTTTAAAAATCCAAATAAAATAAATGTAACACGGTGTTAAAAAAAAAAAAACATGGACAGGACTGGAGGAGATGATGATAATGATGATGATGATGATGATGATGATGATTTACTGACTTAAAATAAGTAAAGCAGAGTGAGTCAATTATCATGTGCTTTCACTTACTTGTGGAGCATAAGGAATAACACAAAGGACATTGGGAGATGCAGAGGAGAAGTCAGTTGGGAAATTGGACAGGGAGATGAACCATGTGAGACTGTGGACTCTAAGAAACTAACTGAAGATTTTGGAGGGGAAGAGAGTGTTGAGTTGGGTGAGCCTGCTGGTGGGTATTAAGGAGGGCATGTGTTGCAGGGAGCACAGGGTGTGGTGCCTAAATAATGAATCTTGCAACACTGAAAAAAATAAAATTAAATTTAAAAAAGTTAAAAAAAATACACAAGGACAGAGATAAGAATGCTATCATTCTTTATGTTTATATTTTAAAGTGATAACCCTAGATCCTTATGAAAGAAATATTTGAACATGAATACTGGAAGAAAAGACCTTTGAATGACTTAAACCAGGGAAAATTTAATTGTTTTAAGATTTGTATTTAATCTATGGTTGCTCATTATGTGTATATCATTGTAAAACCTTAGAAAATTTATGTGTATACAGGATCTTACACTTATTTTCTAAATTAGGAAAATATATAAATAGTCCATTTTTTTCTTAACAGAAAAACTGCATTTCTAAAAGTTTCTAATTATATTTCATAATTAGGTATATAAGATTAGATAACATGTTTTAAAGCTTGGAAATATTTGGTTGTTGCTTTTAGAATTCTCAGTTCATTTTCATCAGTAAGTATTTATTTATTTTTTAAAGATTTTGCATATTTAATTTGTTAGAGAGAGAGAGAGAGAGAGTAAGAGAGAGAGAGAGAGTGCACAAGCTGACAGAGTGGCAGGCAGAGGCTGAGAGAGAAGCAGGCTCCCTGCAGAGCAAGGAGCCTGATGCAGGACTGGATCCCAGGACTGTGGGATAATGACCTTAGCTGAAGCCAGTGGTTTAACCGACTGAGCCACCCAGGTGTCCCCATCATTAAGCATTTAAGGAGAATTTACTATCCACTCAATTTATTAATCACTGACCCAATAATTAATTATTGACTGATTCAATATTCCCATTTTTAAATGAAAATAATATTTTATATCACATAGAATGAATATAAAGCATAAAGAATGAGATTGATATAATTTGAATTCCAATCATAGGCAAAGGGAAAGCCCAATTAAGGTTTTATTAAGATTATATGACTATTGTACATTGACATCATGTCCTGTACTATCTGGCTACTCTTAAAGTGTATTGTGTATCCTTATTTTAGATCTGTTCATTAAATGGCTTACTGTCATTTAGCTTACTGTCAGTTAGCCCGGTTTACTTGCTAACTGATCAGATGGTCACAATGATGCCTGTCACAGTCTCAGTGATGATTCCATTGTTTTTGAAATTATTTCCAGGACAATTCTATGTGATAGGACCCAGAGAACCAGTCATTGGCTTGGTTGGGGAAGAGGCTGTGTTGTCCTGTCAGCTCAGCCCATCAATGGATGCTCAGAACATGGAAGTGAAGTGGTATCGTAATGATCCTTTTGGCCTGGTGCATCATTATAGTACTTCCCAGGTTGATATGGAGCAGCAGAGGCCAGAATACCAAGGGAGAACAGAATTCCTGAAGGGGAATATTACCAAAGGGCATGTTGCCTTAAGGATACATCCCATCCAACTTTCAGATGGAGGGGAGTATGCATGTTTCTTTGAAAGCTCCACATACTACAATGATGCAACATTCCAAGTGTTGGTCACAGGTAAGTTTCTGCAAATGAAAACTCATACACAATTTATTATTATTATTATTATTATTGTTGTTGTTATTATTTATTTTTGATCAGGAGTCTAAAGTATCCGTTTAGATGGTTAAAGTTGGCTAAATCTATACATACACTATGATGGAATGCCAAGAAATTTAAATATGTAAAATTATTCTAATCAGTCCATCCCAGTATTCTTTGGTGCTAGTAAAAATATATTTGCATCTTTTCTATGCCAACACCTTTACTTTGAAGGAAAGAAAGAACAGGGGTTATAGTAGGTATGATATCAGAAGATTCAGTCCCAGAAATGTATCTTAGTCTCTATTCAGAAACACAGAATGAACTAAACAGAGGCAGAAAGAATCTCACCAGCCTGCTATCAGGCTAGGTTTTTTGCACCTTGCTGCAGCCCATTCTGATAATAGTCCAATCAAATGTGGTGTTTCTGACTCCCAGTATGACATCCATATTTATTCAGATCCTTTCATAATTTGTCCCCTTAGATCTCACTCCTCTCAGATATTTTCCACACAAACAAGACAAAATAAAACAAAACAACATAACTCTACTGCCAGAATGAAAGTTAAGCATTCCAATTCAACCATGCACTGAGTGATAATCACCGTTTTCTCTATAAACATTGTGAGACCTTATATTGAGCTCAGATGATGAGTTTCTCTATCCTCTCCTTTATAATGGACATTAAGAGACATTAACCCAATCCATCAGATGGAGCCAATATTATTGACCTTCTTCCCAAAGACTGGGAAATTCTTCTCCTCCAGAACTCCCTTACCTGTTTCTAAATATTTCTACCTCTTATTTAGTGAAAATTCTGATTATGAACTAAGTAATCCGTAATCCATATTTACATACTAAAGGGTGGATGCTTATATAATTTTCATAAATTAAAAGGAGTTGTTGTGGAGAGACTTACTTGCAAGTTTTAAACACCTTTTTGAGTCAGAGTTTTTGTTACCTGACACTTTGATTCACACATCCCCTAATAGTTTTTCTGGAGAGTAAAGGAGCAAATAGTTGCCTCCTTCTGTGATTCCTTCCTGGATTTAGAGTAAATCTGCATCTTTAGGTAAGTAGACTGGGATTCCTCAGTGGAAGTCTCTATTGTATGCAAATGAGTGTCACTCCCATGGAGGCATTTAGCCAGACACTAGGAATGAATGACATCAATTATGTTTACCTATTCACTGAGTTTTGCCTTTAGAGCAGGGATCATTCACTCTACTATGGTAACTTCTGAAGCAATCCAGGTGTTAGACATCCACTTCATGAAGTCCTACAGACATTTCCTAAACCATGGGTAAACCCATATTAGGAGGTCTGAATTTGAGAGCCAATTGTTACTGTTGCTTCTTGAATAAACAATATGTCATTTCTCAGGATCATCTCAATTTTATCTCAGACTTAACTTGTTCTTTGTACAGTTATCCTATTACTAAATAGAAAACAACTTTCCACTAGTCTTCCATTTTACCCCAGTTTCTTTAGAAGAATGCATTTCCTATCTTGAATTTATTACCACTCAACTCTGGCATTGTGTTTCAGAATGAGTTTGTTATTAGCTGAAAAAATTGTTAGTTAACACATGTCTTAGAATTTACTTTACAATCTCCTATATCTTATAGATGAGGTTATCTGATACATCACTTTGTTGATTTTTCCAAATCATATATGCAAGGGAAGTTGTATTTGCTACCCAAGCACAATTTTTTAAAATAAAACTAAGATATGTATGTATGTACTGTATAGTGTCTAACATAACGTAATAAAATTTAAAAAAAAAGAGAAAAATAAACAAAAAATTCAGACATAAAAATAAATAAATAAAACTAAGATAAATCCTATGGTGATCTTAATTTGTACTGTGGATATATATTACAAAAAATAGTGATAAATTCCATCCACCTTTTTTACTAGGTCTAGAACATCCAAAGAAATTTTAACCAAACTTAACAAAAAATATTTCCTAAAAGCTAAGAAAGAAAATTGAAAGTTCTGATATTAGATGACATAACCTTATAATGATGATGAACACTATAGGTTTTCTCTCCTTGCAATGGTCATAAGACAATGAAAATCCCAGAGATTCAAAATGGGTAAAGAATGGTATTTAAGTCAGCCTGTGCTATGTCAGAAGCCATCCTGGCCTCATGTATACCAGTCAGAAACCTACAATAGTAGGAGAACCATGGTGACCTGATTTCCTCTCTTATTAGCTAACTTTTTTCCACTTTAGCCCTTCAGTCTTGACTTGATAAGTCAAGTTACATCAGTAATGGCTAAGGCAACATTTGGAATACATTTTTCAATCCTCTAAAAATATCCATTCCCTCACCCCTATTTCCCACTCCGATTTTTAATTGAGGCTTAACCTGCACAATGCATTTTACCCTTAGACCACAAATTTAATGAGGTAAAGAGAATGGTATAACTTGAAGTACAACATTACTTTTCTCTCTCCAAAAAATCAGATACTAATGAAACATTTATTGTGTTTCTACCAAAAAAAAAAAAAAAAGATTTATAGAATTTTGTCTTCAGAAAATACCCACCCATAATTGCATTTCTCTTCAAGTCCTAGAAGGTAGCCTGAATATGTGAAATGTAATGGGATAGCCTTTCAAATGTAAAGATCCTGGAAAATGAAAAACATATTTTCTTTGTATTCTTAATTGATGAACTCTTTAAGGTGAATAATATTTATTACAACCAAGTAAGCAGTTTAATAGAGTAATTTTTATACCCATTACATGGGTTGAGACAATTTTTATCTTCATTTCACAAACAGGGAATGGAGGTATAGAGAGGTTGGTCCATTAGTTGCACTGGCTTACTGTTGCCAGTCAGTACAAATGTAACTTTTGAATCTAGAACTTATCCTCATAATCATGATTCTCCATTGATTCTCAAAGCTACTATATTCTGAAAATACCATTTATCAGTACCAGCACTGGGGGACACCACTGTGCCAATGAAGTCATCATTGGTGTAACATGTTATATACTAACTCCTGGTGATTTGTCAGGGTCTGGCCCTCCATGCAGTATCAGATAACATTAGATCATTTTCTTTACCAACTTAATAGAAGGACTGCCATAACAAATTATTGCAAATAAGATGCCCCAAAACAACAGAAGTGTATCTTCTCACAGTTCTGGAGGACAGAGTCCAAATCAAGGTATCATCAGCATTATGGTCTCAGGGAAACATCTGAGAATAATGCTTCCTTGCCTCTTCCAGGTTCTGGCATGAGTTGTCTTATGCTGGGATCTCTACATTCTCTACTGCAAACTTCACAGGGCCATTTTCTTGTGTCTCTGTGTCCAAATTTCTTTCTTATATAGACCACATTCACTTTGGATTATGATCCACCCCAATCCTGGATAATTTCCTCTTTACTAATTACTTGTACAAAATGGTATCCAAATAACTGCCAGGTATTGAAGGTTAGGACTGGAACATATCTTTTCAGAAGACACATTTCAACTCACAATAGGGCTAATTTGATCCCAGTAAATTTGATCTTTGTTGTTATCACTGTATCAGTTACTCTACATAATACTGAGTGGAATGCTTCACTACTATCCACTGAACTAAAGAAGACAGTAGCTTAAACCAGAGCTTCTTTATTCTGTGGTAAAGGCAGAAAGGAGCATAGAATCAGAAGAATGGCTAGACACTGTGCAGTTCACACATTTCTTATCTTGATTGGCCACATCCATATAATCCACTTTTGAAGATGACTCACACTCTGCATTCTCCAGCCCTTAAGAAGGGAGAAAGAATGAAGAAAAGGTATCTCTTTACTTTGAGGGAAATGGTCTAGAAAGCATATACATCATTTTCATTTGAAACACACCATTGATATCTCAAAGTCACTTCTAATTTTAAGTCTGGAGGGTTGGAACATGCATTCTTAACCAGGGCTGATATATACACAGTCAAAATTTATATTGTTTCCCAAAGGGTTCTATCCAAAATGGTGGCTACTAACCATGTGTTAAATTGAAATTTAAATGTTTTTGATATACATTTGATTGATGAAAATATGAAATTCAGTTCCTAACAATATTTCAGGTACTTAGTAGCCACCTGTATCTAGTTTATCTGGACCACAATGATGTCAGTAACATTCCCAACATCATAAGTTCTTATAAAAAATAACATCTTTAGAATTAGATATTAAAAGATATTTAAGAATGACTAGTAATTTGCCTCAGAAAACCACCAAATCATGTGTGCCTTTAGCTTTGAGGTTCCAAGTGATTTGATGGATGTTTTTCTACCCAACTTTAAGAATCATCAAATAAATTACTCAGTGATGTTTCAAAGTGGGAGAGGTAAAAAGCAAACAATACAGACATGCTGGGCATTTGGGTACTTTATTAAATGTTGATACAGCTGGTTTCTTTTTTTCCAAAATCCTTTGTGACTAGCTTATTTTCTTAACTCCACTTTTATAAATAAGAAAATTGAGTTTCATAGAAGTTAGTTAAAATGTAAAATGGCAAGAAATCTTTTGGAGATGTGTAATATCTGTCTTTGACTATTCTAGTCTCAGGTAGGGCTCCTCATATCCACATTGAGCCTGGAAATAAAAAGGACTTTAAAGTGACCTGCATGTCCACGGGGTGGTATCCAGAGCCTGAGGTGCAATGGAGGAACCATCAAGGACTGCATCTGGCACCAGGCTCTGAGACAAAGACAATGGAAGGAAGTGGATTGTTTCATGTGGAATCATCTATCACAGTGGACAAAAGTTCAAGAGCAGAAGTGTCCTGTGTTGTAAGGAACACAATACTCAGTGTTGAGAAGGAAGTGCATGTTTCCTTGGCAGGTCAGTTATCATTAGCAATATCATTGCTAATTAAGAAGTTTTATTTTTTATCATTATGTTAGTCACCATACAGTACATTAGTTTTTGATGTAGTGTTGCATGATTCATTCATTGTTTGTGTATAACACCCAGTGTTCCATGCAGTCTGTGCCCTCCTTAATAGGGATCACCAGGCTCACCCATTCCCCCACTCCTCTCCCTTCTAAACCCCTCAGTTTGTTTCCTGGAGTCTTTGGTTTTTCATGGTTCATCTCCCCCTCTGGCTTCCCCCCCTCATTTTCCCCTTCCTTCTCCTAATGCCCTCCATGCTATTCCTTATATGCTGCAAATAAGGGAAATCATATGATAATTGACTTTCTCTGCTTGATTTATTTCACTTAGCATAATCTCTACTCCCATCCATGTCAGTGCAAATGGTGGGTACTCATCCTTTCTTATGGCAGAAGAATATTCCATTGTGTGTATGGACCATTCATTACCCATTCATCTGCTGAAGGGCATCTCAGCTCCTTCCGCAGTGTGGCCATTGTGGACATTGCTGCTATGAACATCAGGGTGCATATGGCCCTCCTTTTCACTACATCTGTATCATTGGATAATTAAGATCTTCTTGACAAAGATCTATGACTGACACACCAAGAAGAATATTCTAGTTTATCCATTTGTGATTCTTAATGTGGAAGACTTGTAAAAATTCATATTTGGTCTTGTTTTGTATTCCTTTTTATAATAGAAATGTCATTGTTCTACTTTATAAAAATGAATATATGAATGCACAAAGGCATTCAAAGTGAGAAAAAGTATATTGAGGAATCTTTCAAAGTTCCTCCTAAACTTCTGATCCCACTGCCTAGGGAAAGCTACTTTTCACTACTTGGTGTTTTCTCCCATCTGCCAAATTGGATTTGAATCCTGGCAGAGCCATTTACCAGCTTCATGATCTTGGGTAACTATTGAGCTCTCTGTACTCAGTTCCCGTCTGTTATATATGGGTAATATTACTGTCTACCTCATGAAATTTTTATAGTAACAAAAATAATTAATATCACAGGCAAAGAAGAGCTCAGACTTCAATCTATTCTTTATACCTACCGAAAGTGATCTTTCAAAGAAAGAGATTGACCAAAGTATCTCCTCCAACTTACTGTATATGCAAATACCTTTATTTGAATATTTCACCCTATCAACAGCAACCCTCTCTCTCTCTTGTCCTTCCTATCTTTTCAGCTTCATTTTTCATCCCTGTCTTCCATGTCTCTAATTCTCCCTGCCCCACATAATTCTCTGAAAATATTCAAACATGCAATACCCCTTGTAGCTTGTCATTGACACATTTGTTCTTCTTTTCTATAACTAAGAGTTTCCTTCTGGTCCCTCAATACTTTATCTTATCTTCCCACGAAACTGTCATCAAGTTTTCTGTGTTCAGTGCCCTCTTTACTCATATATTTTTGTGATTATATGTTTCACTATTTCCCCAGGTAGAATAAGAAACTCCTGAGGACATTTCATCATATTTCTATTATGTTTCCATTTCTTAGAAAAATACTGAGCCATAATATGCTTTCGTACAGTAGATAAATATTTGTTTCACCTCCTATCAACAAGCAAAGTGTCATTTCTTTTTTTATTGTTTTCTTACTATTTTTTTAAAAGATTTGTTTTTTTATTTATTTATTTGACAGACAGAGATCACAAGCAGGCAGAGAGGCAGACAGAGAGAGAGAGGAGGAAGCAGGTTCCCCACTGAGCAGAGAGCCCGACGCGGGACTCGATCCCAGGACCCCGAGACCATGACCCGAGCCGAAGGCAGCGGCTCAACCCACTGAGCCACCAAGGCGCCCCTTCTTACTATTTTTAATTTAATTTTATTTTTCCAGTGTTCCAAGATTCATTGTTTATGCACCACACCCAGTGTTCCATGCAATACGTGCCCTCTATAATGCTTTAGTTTGGGAAGTCACATTATTTTAAGATAATTAGGAAGACAAAGGGCTGATATATGAGATTTATAAAGAACTCCTCAAACTCAACGCTCAAAAGACAGATAATCACACCAAAAATTGGACAGAGGCCATGAAGAGACACTTCTCCAAAGAAGACATACAAATGGCTAATAGACACATGAGAAAATGTTCAACATCATTAGCCATCACGGAGATTCAAATCAAAAGCACATTGAGATACCACCTTACAGCAGTTACAATAGCCATAAATACCTTAAACAATACGTGTTGGGGAGGATGTGGAATAAGGGGAACTCTCTTCCACTGTTTGTGGGAAGGCAAGTTGGTGCAGCCACTTTGGAGAGCAGTGTGGAGGTTGCTTAAGAAATTAAAAATAGAGCTGCCCTACGACTCTGCAATTATACTACTGGTTATTTATCCCAAAGATAGAGATGTAGTGAAAAGAAGGGCCATCTGTACCCCAATGTCTATAGCAACAATAACCACAATTGCCAAACTGTGGAAAGAGCCAAGATGCCCTACAACAGAAAAAGGATAAAGAAGACATGGTCCATATATACAATGGAGTATTATGCCTCCACCAGAAAGATGAATACCCAACTTTTGTATCAACATGGACAGGACTGGAGGAGATTATGCTGAGAGAAATAAGTCAATTATCCTATGGTTTTTACTTACTTGTGGAGCATAATAAATAATATGGTGGACATTAGGACAAGGAAAGGAAAAGAGAATAGGGGGAAAACGGAGGGGGAGATGAACCATGAGAGACTGTGGACCCTGAGAAACAAACAGAGTTTTGTAAGGGAGGGGGTTAGGGGAATGGGTAAGTCTGGTGGTGGGTACTAAGGAAAGCATGTATTGCATGGAGCACTGGGTGTGGTGTATAAAAAAATGAATCTTGGAACACTGAAAAAATAAAATAAAATTTAAAGAAATAAACAATTAAATTAAAAAATAAATTAAACACACACACACACACACACACACACACACAAACACAGAGATAATGAAGAAGAGAACCTGAGTTTGGGAATGTGAAAGAAGCAAACACACATACCAAATAGAGGATTTTTGTTCAATAACTTTAGTATTACAAAGAATAGAGGAAATTAGGAATTTCTTTTTTTTTTAAGATTTTATTAATTTGACAGAGATCACAAGTAGGCAGAGAGGCAGGCAGAGAGAGAGAGAGAGAGAGAGAGGAGGAAGCAGGCTCCCTGCCGAGCAGAGAGCCTGATGTGGGGCTCGATCCCAGGACCCTGGAATCATGACCCGAGCCAAAGGCGAGGCTTTAACCGACTGAGCCACCCAGGCGCCCCAAAATTAGGAGTTTCTTACTGAGATTTTTATACCGAAGAAATGAGTTGAAACATATAATAAGATATTATGAGTTGGGAAAATATTATAAAGCTCTTGAAAGTCTGAATGTAGGAGATACATTTTTTTATATTTTAATATATTAATGGGTTTGAGATCACCAAATAAAAATTCCAGAGACATCTTGTTGAAATCTTAATGAGGGTAGTCTCTGAAGGAATGTGTCCTTGACACCTCTTTTAAAATAAGTGTTAATTAGAAAAATAACAAAACAATAGTTATTAATTTTACTGATTACAGTTGCCAGCTGGCAGATATCTCATAAGAAACCTTAAATTGAATTAAACATTTGTCTCTAAAACCTAGACCATGAATCCCATTGGGCTTTTTATCCAAGATGTCACAGTTTCTCCTTTAATCTTTAGAGAAGCTCCACGTGCCTCTCACTCATTGACATATTTTCAAGATCATATATATGTTTATGTAGAAAATAATTGGATAGAAAGAACACATGACAAAGTTTGGGGAACCAAAGGTGAAAAATTGGAAACAAATATGAAAAGAAATACCTTATTGCATTTGTAGGTTTTTATTAATTATGACAGAATTATTTGTTACATAGAATAATATTAATTTTGCTAAATCTTGATTGTAAGTACATAGATGTCTGATGCATTACTTGTATGTTTTCAGCATATTAAAACATTGTGATCATTTATAAAATAAACCTTCTGAATCTCCATACATTAGGAACAAGAAAGGGAATGGAAGCCTCTTTAGCATTCCTGAATTCTGTAGAATTCCAAGGAAGGATAGGTGAGGCTTAGAATCTGGGGGTGCCTGGGTGGCTCGGTGGTTAAGTATCTGTCTTCAGCTCAGGTCATGATCCCAGGGATCCGGGATCGAAACCCGCATTGGGCTCTCTGCTCAGTGGGGAGCCTCCTTCTCCCTCTCCCACTCTCTCTGCTTCTATTCCCTTTCTCACTGTGTTGCTATCACATAAATAAATAAAATCTTTAGGAAAAAAAAAAAGAATCTGTGTCATTTCTAGCAATGTCTCCGAAAAGAAAATTCTTGAGATCTGTTCGCAGAAGCCAAGTCACTGATGCCAAGCTAGATACTTAATGAGACAATCTCTGTTTTTCAGATTCCCTATTTCTTGAGGACTTTACTTGGATAGTGTGGTTGGTTGTTCTCCTGGTTCTCCTGGTCATCAGTGTAACCATCTGTGTTCTATTTCTGCGTGCTAGAAAAGCCAAAGGTAAATGAAACAACAAGAACAACAAACAACTCAAAGGAACCCAAGACAAAAACAGCAAAAACTGTGGGGATTGGGTTCATTTGTGGAAGAAGTACACTGTAATATTAACACAAAATTCATAATTGGTTTGTAGAGGGCCTTTAGCATTTCAAATTGGAAGCAAGAAAAAGTAATCAGAAAAAATATGTAAGTACATACTCAAAACTCTGAGCGTTTTTCAGAAAATAGAGGTTGTCTGGTTAAGGTCAATTATTTTCATGTAGTTTTGGGATCTAGGTGAGGTGCAGTGGAGTGGAATCTAGAGACAAAGACCAAGAAAGAATTATTGAAACATCTGTGGTGCAAAATGGTGGTTTATTAAAGCACAGGAGCAGGACCCATGGGCAGAAAGAGCTGCTGCTCTGGGGTTTGTGAGGTGTGGCTGATTATATATCATGGGATTTTGGGAGGTA